TGTAGGGTCAGTCTGCAAATCAATCCAGTGCATGGGGCTATGTCATCAGGTTCCCCATGCGTCTGGAAATTTGTGGCAGTGTTAACTGCCATGGCTTCAGGAACTGTGGCAATTAATGCTGCCACTGCTTCCCCCACCACCAAATTTCCAGGCCTGTGGGGAGCCGCAAGGGTCAAATGACATAGCTCCAGGTTGGATCTCTCCCACAGGTTGGATCTTGATCACTTCTGTTTTAAAGCCATGAAAGAAACTGTGGAGCTTGTTCTCTGTCTCATACACGCACACACAAAAGCAGAAAATGAGCTACTGAGGGGTTAGATCATCTGTTTCTTCCTAAAAGGAATTTATGGAAAGGCCACATATGAGCAACCAATTCCAGAGTTCCATTGACAAAAATGTTGAAAAATCACCTATCAGGAGGTTGAATTGGAAATATTGTAGAGAGAGGGAAGGGCACGGAGGATTATCCCTCCAAGAAACATGAGATCAGTGCCCAGTGAGGATGCTAAACTTGCAGAAGTACAGTTGAGACTATGAACCTGTTGGCACTGGGTCAGTAGGATACATGGTTATGTGGAGAAAGCATTTCAGACATTTGTGGTCTTTGCTAAAATACAGTCACTTGGCTTCTGCTGCTTGATGACATAGCTGCTTTTTCTGACACTCTGTCAGGTGATGATACTATACAGAAAAGTTATCCCCTCTCTCAGTGTCATTCACAACAGCCAGCTGCTCCACCAATTTTATGTTTTTCCTGCCGCAGAGCTGATACCAGATGGCAATATACTTTACCTAAGATTAAAAAAAAAACACTTTTAGTTAATAAATGTATTTTCCAGAGACCATCAGAAAATCACAATGCATTATTAAACTAACAATGATCAGCAATCAGCAGGAGACAGGCTTCTATTTTCCCAAATGATCTCTCTCGGCTCCTGTGAACACTTGATAATTTGTGGATAGATTTCAAAGGCATGACATGTTTACTTAGGATCATAGGAAAGTAGGACTGGAAGGGACATCATGAGCTCATCTAGTTGACCCCCCTGCTCAAGGCAGTTTAATCAGAGATGATGATCCTATCTCAGCCAAGTACTTGACTTTGACTCAAAAGGAACTGCTTCATAATATCAAAGTTTCAGAGACTGTGTGGAAATAAGTCACTGGGCATTAAATTGGCAGGTTTCATGTCAATGGAAGCTCAGTGGATTATGGAGAGGACTTTTAAAATTTCTAGTGAGAGAACAGGTGATTATAACAACACTTTTCTGAGCCTTATGAAAGCCGATGAAAAGAGAAGCATTATAATTTCAAAGGAAACTATCCACCTTTGGCATTGTATAGTATTATGCCTACAAGAGATATTCTTTGTGGGAACATGAATAAATAAATAAAAATAAAGTTTCAGCTACCCCAGCAGAGGTCTCTTCAGACTAAGATCTGTCAAAAAGGCTGACGGATGAGATGAGATTATTTGAGAAATGAGACAAGGATAAAGACCTCAAAGGAGGCAGACTGTCTCATTTTGGTCATTATTAGGGGTCTACGCAACTTGAAGAGGCAGGGGGCTGATCTTGCCAGTCCCGCCCCTCCCTGCAGATTGGCAGATAGCCTGAAATTGAGGTTTAGTTACCCTGATTAAGCCTGGGGAAGCCATTTATCCACACATTATTAAGTGTGGATTAATGGCTTCCCCAGGCATAATCAGGATAATTAAGCCTGGGTTTCAGACCATCCCCAATCTAAGCATTCAATTAAACTCCACATATGCGTTGGGGTGGGTGGTGGGAAAAGGGCCAGGGGCAGCACAGCCCCAGCCCTTTTCCCACTGTCAGCCCTGAGGCACACATGCTCCCACTGCTGACAATGAAGGAACTAATTTGCCCCAATGTATTTTTCAGAGGTTTGCATAGTGGTGAGAGATAATCCATGTGTGAGTCAAGGATCACTCACCTATCTGATAAAATCAATCAGAGTGACCAAAGTAAGGCTGCTGACATTGTAAATTATTGCTCACATATGTAGCATAATAAGCAGAATCCAGTACCCTTGAAAATATCTCAGGATTTGCCTACACACAAAGTTTGTCATACTCCCCCATAATGCTAGCACATTTGTAACACAGCCTACATCCAAACAAAAACACATACAAAAATGCTGCCGACAACTCCCAGGTAACCAAACAACCATAAGGATCAGACTTTCTTTAAGCAGAGAGCATGTCAGCAAGATCCTGTGCTTTGTTAAAAAACACTAAGACCATGCCAGCACACAGGACAACCACTGGCATTAAAGGCCCAAAGGGTTCACCAACTGATGTCGCACAGTCACTGCTTAGCTGGCCTGTCTTGTCTGCTGTGTGGACTTCATTGCATGCAGAGGCAAGTCTGTCAGAAACCACGAACCCGTATAAATAGCGCTGAACAATAGCAAAGAGCTCTTTGGACTGATAATTTCTGTTGAGCAAACAGGAAACCAGTTTGTAAAAAATAAGTCTGTGTGTAATCACTACTTCAGTCACGGTTCTCTGGTATCCACACGCTGACAAATCACCCCTACGTTTACTTCTGTAATAAAATTAAATACAAATCTTTAACAAACCAAAAGAAAAAAAAAACACTTCAAAGAACAAAAGGATGTCTTTACTTTTTAAAGCATCCATGATTCTAGTTTGCATAAACATCCTTCACCATACAAATTAAATGAATGGGAAAATTGAATAAATTAACAGGTAAGCTCCCAAGAAGTCATTCTAAATAAAAAAACGTGGTAAATTCTACTTCACTGTTACCTATGGTCCTTCCACAGCTCTCCATCATCAATTTAAAATTAAGTGCCCTGAAAAGTTTTAATTTGTAAAAGTAAGGAAGGAACAGTTTCCGATGCAACTGCCTGCCTGTCCACAAGATGCTGGAAGGCCTCTTGTTCCTCAACTGCAAGGGTGGGCAATTATTTTGGCTGGAGGGCCACTTCATGAGTTTTGGTGTCCTCTAGAGAGGGACACTTCTCTCTTTCTCCCACGCCACCATCCACATGCCACCCAGAGCTGCAGTATGCCCTAGTCTCTACCCAACCTGGACCCTGCCAGCTGTGCTCACAGCTTATGCCAGCCCCTTCCTGGCATAGAAGAAGCAGCCTCAGGTGTGTGGTGGCATCAGCTGTGGACGCAACTGGTAGGTTCCAGGTAGGGATCAAGGCATCCACTTGGGGCCACAGCTGACCTCATCAGGGCTGGGTGGAAGCAGTCCTGTCCGCTCACCCAGCATGGTGGAACTAGCCCCACCTGCCTGGCATCACACAGTGCTCAGAGACAGAGTTGCCAGCTCTCCACAGGGCTGGATCCCATAAGTTTGTGGCCACCTGCCCCTGGGCTGGATATATATAATCAGTGGGTAGACCACATTCAGCTCATGAGCTGCATTTTGCTTACCCCTGCTCTACTGCATGAGATACTGAGCACTTCCCTTGACTTTCAGACATATTCATGGAAACACAGGCGGCAGGTACTCCATTTGTGATCCCAGTCACTGAGCTGCCACTATGGGGTGGAGAAACATTTGCACGTTGGGTTTGGTTTCTGAAAACCACTCTGCATTGCCACAGTTGACTTGAAAAGTTTACAGAGGGGTTGGGTCCAGGCAAGTGTAACCTGCATGTAACTTCATTGAACTGCTACAAGAAAGAGCATCCCGAGCACCCAGGAGGTGCAGATCTGGGATTTTCACAAGGGGTAGAGGTGCAGATGGTGTGACATACAACAGGCATTTCTTTTCCCAGTTAAACTAGATACTTTACTAACACGCTGGGGCCTCGGGCTGTATTATTCCATTTAAGGTGGAACAAAAAATGAACATAACTATCGGAGAGCGCATAGATTTGCTGAATTAGTTATAAAATGTTACAAAAAGCATCAACTAGACAGAAACAGTCAAAAGAGGCTGTGCCAGGCTTTTTTTTTTTTTTTTTTAGGAAATTGTTCATGTTCCAAGCCAAATCAAGCCCGACACCTCAGTAGGTACTAAACCACACCAGAAGAACAGTTATCCGCAGGAACGCTTAAGGAAAACTGCCTTCATGGACCCAGATACCTGGTGTTTCCCCCGGGCAGCTCATTTTGAAGTGAGGGGTGGACAAGGAATGAAAGTGGGGATCCCTGCACTTCCCCTGGCACCACCGCCTCCTCCGGGCAGCGCAGGGGCGAGATGGGGGTCACCTTTCAGCGGCCTTGACTGGGAATGTGCTGTCTAGACCTGGGGGTCGCCCTCCCTGCAGCTGGGGGCTTGGCTGGACCTCGGGGCTCGCCCTAGACCTGCCTCTCTCTGGACCTCAGCTCTCCAGGTGCCTCCACCTTGTCCCCGGCGGAGGCACAGCCCTGCCGACGCCTCCCCTCAGACCCCGGCCCAGCCGAGG